CGCAGCCGCTTCTCCACGTCGAAGTCGCGGTGGCCGATCTGGGGAGGGGAGAGGAGGTGTCCTGAGCCCTGCCGCCCCGTTCCTCCCCGCAAAACCTCCGTCGGAACTTTCCATCCCACCCCAAGGCATTCCCCACACAATTTGGGATTAGGGAAATATTTTGGTAATGCTGAAGTCACGATGCAAGAAGATATTAAATATCTATGTATATATATTGCAATTTTCCCTCTTTATCAAATAAAAACAATTTAATAGTTAAAAAAAGAGAAGAAAATAAATTACATAAACATCAAAACTGGCAGATTCCACCAAAACACCACATTTTTTTCCCCACCAGAAAGCTGTTCCTCTGAAAACATTAGCCCACCCCACCCCCATCAGCTGCGTGCCTGCCCAGCGACCACCCCTGCAGCCAGGGGAACAGCCCAGCCTCACGACCGGGGGGCACAGGCAGGCACTGCGGGTCCCCAGAGCCATAGCGCCCTGTCCTCGCAGCCAGCGGGCACTGTCACCCCCCTGGGAAACCACCCTGGCCGAGGGGTAGGGTCAGAGAGGGGCAGACCCAGAAGACGCGGGTCCAGCATCTGTGCCGAGAGCTGGCACAGAAAATGCAAAAGTCATTGCGTGAAAGAAAAAAAGCCAGAAAAAACCCTCTGCCCCTTTGGGGAAAAGAGTGTCAAAGGCAGGAGAAAGTCAGCCCAAAGGGGAAAGAGAAAAAAAAAAGTGAAACACTGATGAGGAAAGCTTCATTAGGAGTTATTTACACATCTCTAATGCAAAGCATCTGGAGTCCCCATCAGCCACGGAGGGACGTAACCAATGCTGCCGCCTTCGTTGCGGGAGGCAGCAATCTCTTGTGCGTGAATCCCCAGCAGTGCTGGTGGAAAATAACTGCTGGGTGATTTTGGAGGCTCATCCCCGGGCAGTGTGGTGTCACCACATTACTCTGAAGCCTTTTAAAGAAGGGAAGTATGAAGCACCTTAAAAAAAAAAAAAACCGCTACACTCCCCCCCTGAAGCTGAGAGCAACCATGGTTACGAGGATAAAAGAATTAGAAAAACACCAGATAAACAGGGACATGGCTTCAGTGCTTGACTTCAGACTAATTGAAATATAAGAGCATTTTCCATTTAGTCTGTTTACCATGACTCTTCTTGTTTCAAACCTGTTCTCCTATTTTCTGTTCACTGGCTAAAATTAATTGTGCGGATTTGACCTTGTAATCTGGTTTAGAGCTGGATCCAGAAGTCGCTGGCATCTCCATTTCCTTAATTAGTTTTCTGCGTTGGCTTTATTTTTTCTTTTTTAATAAACTGCTCTGAAGCACACCGTCCACTGTAAATCAGACAGCATTTATAACAACACTGCAGCGGAGCAGATTTGCTGTCATCCCTGCCATCCCTACAGACTGTATCTTGGATGCCGTTCAGCATCATCTTCCCATAGCTCAGGGTCTGCCCGCTGCCACAGAGGATGGATTTTGTACTGTAACTGGAAGCAGCAGGTACG